AAGTTTTGATGGATGTCCACGAAAAATTTCAGCATAAATGACTTCGGAAATCCGGATCACCAAAAAATCCATTGACTATAGCACACAAAAATTGGCAAAACGGGGGGTTTGCTCTCTTTGGGGATCGTTTGAACTTAAAATGCGGTGGTTTACCCGTCGGGACAAACCGGCTTCATAGCTAAGGTATTGACAGATGATTACGAATTTTTTGGCAAAAATTAAGTCAAAAATTACCAAAAAATACATGGACTATAGCATACGAATATCGGCAAAACGAGGGTGTTTACCGCTCCGGGGATCGTTTGACCTTGAAAATGGGATGGTTTACCTGTCGGGACCGACCGGCTCCAAAGCTAAGGTCTTGACGGACATCCACGAAAAAGTTTGGCAAAAGTTATGTCGAAAATCTGGATCACCAAAAGATCCATCGACTATAGAACACAAAAATCAGCAAAATGGCGATTTTACCCGCTCTGGGGATTGTTTGACCTTGAAAATGGGTCGGTTTTCCCGTCGGGACCAACCAGCCTCAGAGCAAAGGTCTTGACGGACGTCAACGAAAAATTTCGGCAAAATTGATGTCAGAAATTTAGATCACCAAAAGATCCATGGAATATAGCACACGAAAATCGATGAAACGAGGGGTTTACCTGCTCTAGGGATCGTTTGACCTTGAAAATGGGTCGGTTTGCCAGTCCGGACCAACCAGCTCTATATGTAAGGTCTTGACGGACGTGCACGGAAAATTTTGACAAAAATAAAGTCGGAAATCACCAAAAAATCCATGTATTATAGCACATGAAAATCGGCAAAACAGGGGATTTACCCGCTTCGGGGATCGTTTGACCTTGAAAATGGGCTGGTTTACCTATCTAGACCAATTGGCTCCAAAGCTAAGGTCTTGACGGACGTCCACAAAAAAGTTTGGCAAAAATGACGTCGGAAATCTGAATCACCAAAAGATCACTACTAGAAAACATGCCTGTAGCGACAATTATTTAGCAACAACTAAAGATGCATTGCAATAGACAGTAATTCACAACGGTTATAACCTTTGCAATAGACAAATGGACCTAATGAAACACTTTAAGAAGTAAATCGTTGCATTATTGCGACAACCGTGGCCATAGTATCTTTTATTGCAACGATTCCTACAAACTGTCGCCTTAGGTACTCTATGGCAACGGTTCCGCCAAACTATTTCCCTCAATTATTTCCCTCCACTAATTTTACTACACCCGCCAAAAGAGTTTTTTTTTTTAATATTAATTGTAAAAATAAAATAAAAGGTAAAGTATCACTAGGTTAATTTGTTTCTTCAGACTTTTCATCCTCGTAGGTATCGACTTTCTCCTTTCTCTCTGAAGAACAAAAGTAGCATTTTCCTTTAATCCTTCTTCTTTGATTTTCCTTGTAGGAATCTGCAGCTTTTGGGTCTTCTTCTTAGTGGGTTTTACGTTTCTGCAGCTACAGGTATGTCGTATTCCATCTTCTTCAAAGTTAGAAATTTATTAGAAGGGTTCTTGAAAAAGATTTGAAAATAGACAAATGGATTTCTGTGAAGTAGATGTTCTTTGCTAGAGTTAATGTTTATAATGTAATGTTATTGTGCATTAGAGTGTGTATCTCAATTTTGGTGAAGATTGAGAAATCTTTGCAAAAATGTTTAGATGGAAATTCTCAGTTTAGGAAGAGTTAATGTTATGAAAGATGAGTTTCGATTCTTCATTCTACATGATAATTCTTATCTATCGAAAACCCTCAAGTTTTTGAACAGGACAAACAATTTCTAAGAATAAAATGAACTGAAATATTTTTCAACTCCAAAAGTCATTGAAATCGAACATTAAGGGATTTTGTTTCTCTCTTTCGAGTACAATTTTCAAGCTCTAAGTTTATACTTTCTTCCTTTTTGTCTAAAGTTTTTAGTGGACAAACTACAAGTTGGTCATCAAGCTCAGCTCACTGCTTAAAAAGAGGTAATATTCCTGTTTCTCTTATTTTACTTTGATGTATATCTGTGTGTATGTTAGATATTTTACGTTTACTTTTCTCTGTTCGTTATTGCTTATTCATTTTTTAGTTAAATCATTCCATATGACTGTGTTTTTCAGATTTAAGGTCTGTATTGTAAGTTTAGAATGTTGGAAAAACTTTCACTTTATGCTTTATTGTAAAAAATATTTCATGATCAATTTTCTCTGTTATGAGTTAAGAGCTTCAGAAACCAGATCATTCATGTTACTTCCTGCCTCAGTGAACTCCATCTCATCCATTCATTCCCTAGTGTACCAATGCAAGAAAGCTTTTCTTCTGAACATAGCTGTGTAGTGGTGGTGTGTATTCTTCTTGAAATGAAAACAGAAGTCCGAGGTCGTAGCTTTTTTAATGATTGTCATTAGGGTTACCAGGTGCTTTTAACTAGCATTACTGGTTCATGAATACATTGAGCAGACCTAGCGTCTAGTTGATCATAGAATAAGGTTTTGATTATGAAAGCAACCTCTTTATTCTTTGAGCACCGAATAAAACTTTAGGTATTGAGTAGTTCTTTGTTTTCTCCTTTAATATTCTTTTTGTGATAAATATTGTATTTTCTGTTTTAAGATCATTTTTGCTTTTGGAATACATTGAGTAGATCCTTGGTGTAGTTGAGCACAAAATAAGGCTTTGAGTGTTAACTCAACCTCTCTAAGGCTGCTCCTAGATTTAGATATGCATGTCTACATTTAACCATACATCCAAGTTCTCTAAGGCTGCCCCTTGTCTTTTCTTATAAATTTGAAGTTTTACGATTGACTACTTAGTTTCTTGAGTGAGGTTAGTGACTTTGGTTTTGTTGTCCTTTTATGCTTTTCTTTTACCTTTAAATTTATTTAGAAGTCTTTAATTAGAGACACAACACCCTCAACTTGTTAACTCAAATTTGCCTAGTTAGCTTAGTTATGCTTATCTTTAATTTAAAAGGTTATAACTAGTAAAGTTTTCATGTAGTGAGCCATTCACTACTTAAAAAGAGGTAATATTCCCTTGTCTCTTAATTGTGTAGTTAGTTTCTTTTTAGTCTATTCTCATTTCCATTTATGTGTGTGTGAATCTTGGTTTTTACTCTTCTTTTTGTGTTGTTTATAATCATTTCCAGGTGATTCTTTCCCCATATATGTGCTCTCTAAATGTTGTACATGTATAGTAAGTTTAGAGTGTTGGATAAGATTTCCCTTTTATGTGACTTTCCTATTACTCTTTTTTTCTGATTCATGTTCTATTTTGTGACCATTGCTGATTCTAGAACTGATTGAGTAGATATTGGGTCTAGTTGAGCTACACATAAGGTTTTGAACATTAACTCAGCCTCTCAAGGGGGAGTCTTGCAATCGTGTGCTGCTTAGTTTCTTGAGTGAGGTTGTTGTCTTTGACAAAATAATATGAAATTTTGTATTTTTTATATGAAATCCATTACATCTCTTTAAGTGTTTAGATTTGTCAAAATCGTTTCACTTTACTGTCGTGTCTTACTATCTTAAGATTGAGTTTTTAGATTTTAAATCTTTTACATCATTTCTCTTTTAACTAATTGAAATTCTAGGTAAAATAGGTATTGTTAAGTAGATAGCTGATTATGTATAACAAATAGTTCAAGGAAAAAAGACATTTCATTTATGTTGTTAAATAAAATAAGATAGAGCCACTGATCAAAATCTGTTGAATGTAAGTTTTTAAGGGAACCAAATCTGTTGGTGTGCTATTTAGAATCTTCTCTTTTATTTCTTAACTTGGTAATTTGATTTTGGTGTCGTATAGGATATTCAATATTAAATGGATAGTGGAGATAAAAGTTGGATGGGTCTCCGGAGATCCACCAATGAGTATATCAGTGGTGTGAATAACTTTCTTGATACAACTTTTGAACGAGCTTCCAAAGGAGATGAAATATTGTGTCCTTGCAAAAAGTGTGCTAATTGTAAGTGGAATCATCGAAATGTGGTAGAGGATCACTTGGTTGTTTTTAATGGGTTTGTGCAAGGGTACACCAAATGGATTTTTCATGGGGAAAGTTTTTCCTCGAGAAATAATCCAGATCACAATAATAAGGAAGGTTCCAACATGCGTGACAATATTGATGGCCTACTTCATGATACTTTTAGAGATGTTGCAGGGGACTTGAGGCTTGAGGGAGTGAGAGAGGGGCTATCCGAAGATGCAAAGAAGTTTTTTAAATTGCTGGAGGAAGGTAAACAAGAGTTATATCATGGGTGTGAGAATTTCTCTAAACTGAATTTCACCATTCAATTATTCTTGTTCAAATGCATTCATGGTTTGAGTAATGTGGCCTTTGGAGACTTGCTAGACCTGTTAAGAGAGGCATTTCCATTTTCTCATATACCTGAGTCGTTCCACAAAGAAAAAAATGTGATTAAAGATTTGGGTCTTGATTATGAAAAAATACATGCATGTCCTAATGATTGCATGTTATTTTGGAAGGAAAATGAGAAGGAAAATAATTGCTCTGTTTGTGGCTCGTCTAGATGGAAGACTGTTAATGATCCCTTGACTAATGAAAGCTCCAAAATTCCTGCAAAGGTTTTAAGGTACCTTCCCTTAAAACCTAGGCTTCAGAGAATATTCATGTGTCCCGAAACAACTGCAAATATGAAATGGCATGATACTGAACGACCCAAAGATGGCAACATAAGGCATGCGGCTGACGGGGAAGCTTGGAAAAATTTTGATTCCTTGCACGAAGATTTTGCTAGAGATCCTCGTAATGTTAGATTGGGTCTTTCAAGTGATGGTTTCAACCCATTTCGAACCATGAGTATTTCTCATAGCACATGGCCTGTTATGTTAATGAATTATAATTTATCACCGTGGATTTGCATGAAACCGGAGTATATGATATTATCTATGATCATTCCAGGTCCATCGTCTCCATGAAAGGATATTGATGTCGACACCTTCAACCACTAATTGTAGAATTGAAAGAATTGTAGGAAACTGGGATGGAAACATATGATGCTGATTCTAACCAAACTTTTCAATTGCGTGCAGCCTTATTGTGGACAATTAGTGATTTTCCAGCCTATGCAATGCTTTCTGGTTGGAGCACAAAAGGAAGAAAGGCATGCCCAACTTGTAATCATGGGACCTTCTCTCAATATCTCAAGCATAGTCGTAAGATGTGTTACATGGGTCATTGGGCATTCTTACCTCCTGATCATCCATTTCGAAGAGATAAGAAATCATTTGATGGTAAAGAAGATCACAGATCTGCACCTACTCCCTTATCAGGCACAGAAGTATTAGAAGAGTTGCGTGAATTCAATAATGTTTTTCAGAAAGGGCCAAAAAAGGAAGCGTCGTGATAGTGAGGGTCCATGGAAAAAAGATCCATCTTTTTTGAATTGCCATACTGGGAACATAACAAACTGAGGCACAATCTTGATGTGATGCACATTGAAAAAATTATTTGTGACAGTTTGCTCGGGACTTTGTTGGATGTAACTGGAAAGTCAAAAGACCATGTAAATTCTCGATATGACTTGCAAGAAATGGGGATAAGAAAGGAGCTTCAACCAGTACAAGATGATAATGGAAGAGTTCATTTGGATAAAGCCTGTTTCTCCATGTAACCAACAGAAAAGAAGTTATTTTGCACTGTTCTTAAAAATGCCAAATTACCAAAAGGTTGTGTTTCAAATATATCAAGATGTGTGGAAGTGGATGAGATGAAAATATCAGGTTACAAGAGCCATGATGCTCATTTCATAATGCATTACTTGCTCCAAATTGCTGTTAGAAAAGTGTTACCCAAAAAAGTTTCTATGGCTTTGATTCGGTTGGGGAACTTCTTTAAAGTCATAAGTAGCAAGGTGATAAGGCGAGCAGATCTTGATACAATGCAGTCTGAGATCTATGAGATTATATGTGACCTTGAAAAGATTTGCCCATCCATTTAGTAAATCAAATTAAGCTTGGGGGTCCGATACATCTTCATTGGATGTATTCCACTGAAAGAAACCTATGTTTCTTCAAGGGGCATGTTCGTAATCGATTTCATCTAGAAGCATCAATACTAGAGGGATTCGTGGCACTAGAGCGCGTGAATTTATGTTCTAGATACCTACATGCTGGGGTGAAAACAAAATTTAGTCGATACCAATTAGAGGATGAGCAGGGAACTGAAACAGAGGGAGGTAATTTGTCACCTATATTCCCTAAATTTGGCCATCCGATTGGAAGGGAGAAAAAAAGCAAAGGCAATAATTTTCACATGGATCTCCAGTTATGTGTTGATATACATCGATATGTATTGTTTAATACCGGAGATGAAAAAATGGAGACCTTTATCATGTAAGATCTGTCACTTTTATTATAAACTTCAATATTTTTTATATGATAAGAACTTTGAAACATGCTAATTTGAAACATGCTTGCTTGCAGGGAACATAAGATTGTAATTGACAATCATAGTAGATCAAATCCATGGATTAGAGCACAAAATCATAGTCAGGAATTTGGCAACTGGTTTAAGGAGAAAGTGAAATCTGTTGAAGTGCCTGAACATTTACAACAACTCGCTAAAGGGCCTAATACTGCGGCAAAAAGATATACAACATATTTCATCAATGGATATCGATTTCATACAATGAAACGAGATAGTCAAGGTAAGACCCAGAACTATAGAGTGACTTTATCAGCAACGACTGATAGTTTTGCTAGTGCTAGAGACCAAAACCCCATTGATGGAGAAGTTGTCTATTATGGAGTTATTCAAGATATCATAGAGATTGATTATTGGGGTTGCTTTAGTGTTGTGTTGTTTAAATGTGATTGGTTTCGTAATGAAGTAGATGAATATGGATTAACTCGGGTATACTTCAACAAGTTATGCAGTACTGAAGATCCATTTGTACTGGCATCTCAAGTGCATCAAGTTTTCTATGTAGAGGATCCAATTGAGAAAGATGTTTATTATGCAAGGACCAAAGTTCATGTTGATTTATTTGATTTAGAAGAAGAGAATTGCCCTAATATTGGAGAAACATTTTTTGGGGAGTCAGACAATGACATTGGACCATCAAATGGAATACCTGATGCTGATGTTGATCTCAGATGGTCAAGAGAAGATGTACCTGGTGATGTCATTGATATGCCAACTCATGATCAACATTCAGAATATATGGAAGAAATGGACACATCAGAAGAAGATGAGGACTTTGATGATGTCGATTGGGATTGGATGGTGGTTGATGATTGACGAAGGGATTTTTTCTTATATATCTCTATTGCATTTTCTTATATGTACTATTGGTTTGAAAGTCAATTGAAAGAATGTTGATTTTGCCTATTTTATTATTATTGTGTACTTCTGTCTTTTTGGGTTATCTAAATATTATTAGAGATTGCTTTAGTGCTTCATTTATTAAAACGAGCTGAGTGATTTTTCTTTAGAAAACCTATGTGAATCAAGTAGCAAGAAGTGGTGATAATTCTAATTTCTGCTTCACGCTTTCTCCTTTTTATTAGTTCGTCTTATTGTGACTGTAATCTTCTTTTCACTGATTCTGCTCTATCTTCTTGATTCTGTTGAGATGTCTAACTCTTTATCTTTATATCTCCATTTTTACAGCAGGCAATACTTGGTAGTCATGAAACAGCGAGAGTCTTCAAGAATAAGGAATAAAGAAACAAGAGCAACTGTTCCAGCTGGAACACTCACATCTTTGGCGAATCAAAAGAAGTTGTTGCTAGCTAGAAGAAGAAAGGATCTACTGATCGAAAAGCAACAGCGTCTAACAGATGTAATAGAAGAACAAGATGTGCTAGAATCACACAATCCAGAGGCAGGAGTTCGTATACAAGCTGACTCAACTAACAATGTAGTGCAACCCGTAGAAGAACAACTTCAATTGAATTCTACTGCTCTTAAAGTAAATGAACAATGTGAAGAACAAGGCAAGAACATCCATATTTTATTTATAATATTACTTTTCTTTTTTAATTATAAAATCAAATTACAATACTACTTTGGAAGGGTTATCTTTATTTGTGTATTATTGTAGACTCTTCCACTAAAAAAAGACAAAGAGGTCAAACAAAGATGTTAGCTGTACATGGAAGGCATGATCGTAAACTGATTGTACTGAATAAAGCTGGTCAGCCAGTTGGTCCTAGTATGATGTCGTGATAGAGTTGAGCAGCTTCCTCGGTACACTTGCTAGGAATGCGACCCTTTGTCCTCTTGATATAGAAAATTGGAAGTTGCTTGACACAAACAGGATTTGTGGGATTATACCAAGGTTTGAAGTTTTCAATTCTCTGTTAAGTTAAATATATTTACATTTATTGCACTAACTCAATGTCCGAAATTTTCAGGAGAAATATGATATTCCAGAATTGGAAATAGATAGGACTTTAAAAACAATTCAAGAAGCTTGGAGAAGGCGTAAGTTTGATTTGAAAACACACCACTTTGATGCCTACCTAATGATCAAATTCGGATGGAAAAAAGCCTGATGATGTTCCAACATCTCAATTTAAGGAACTTCTTAAATATTGGAACTTAGAAAAATTTTAGGTAAGTCTTACTAGTTGGTAATACGAAATAAGATTATTTGACTATCGATCTTAGGAAAAGATAAAAATTCTCTTCATTTTAATGTTTCGTGGGTCCAACTTCTTTACAATTTTATTTTAGATTAATTAAAGAAAGTTATGATTTTACTTCTATATTGTGATTGATTTTAGTTTATCACTCCCATAATCTGAGTATATAATATTTTTCTTAAACGATTGCTTTCTTTCCATCCTTTGCTACTTGGTTTAATTATATGACAGCTTTGGTAGTGGTTCATTATGGTAAGTTGGGATTTATATTTCATTTTCCCTTCTATCCTTGTTGGATCCGAGAACAACCTGTAATACATGTTTCTTGGTCGAATTTTATTCCTTAGGATTGAGTTACTTCTCTTTTAGTAAGAGAATATTGTGATTAGCTGATTTGGTGGTTATTTTGCTCTTCATTTCCAAAATATTTAAGCTATATAAAGAGCTCTTTTCTTCTGTAACTGATCACTGGCAGTGTCTCTTCTTTCTGGGAGACCACTAGCTCTCATCTTTTTTTCGGATCACTAGTCACTGGAAAAAAGCTTTCCTCTTCTATAAAATCACTTGATCATTGTGGAACTTCTCTTCTATTTGTAGAAAATGTCAAAAGCCAACAATGAGAATCGGGAAAAAAGTTGAAGAATCCACACACTGTTGGCAAGAAAAGCTTTGCTTTAGTTCGCAAAGATTTGGTATGAGCTCCTGCATAGCATTGAATAAAAACATGTCGCATTTTAAAGAAGATGTTTGATATCCACTTTTAATGTGTACAGGAAAAGAGAGGGAAACTAATGATACTCCATCACCTAAGGAATTTTTTGTGGTTACAAGAAAAAGAAAGCCCAATCGATCATACAAGGATACAGATGAAGATACAACTAGTAAAATTGTGAGATTTCTATCTAATTTTTATTTTGTTTGATTTGAATTTGTTTTTTTTCATATTTACTCTTTATATGTGTACTTGAATTCTCTTGTTTTTTTTATAATAAAATTGCATTATAGGCTGAGATGGAGAATATTGAAATGCAACAAAATGAAGATGGTAATGAGACAATTGATGCATTTGCTTCTGTCATGGGATCAGAACATCTAGGACGTTTGAGATTATATGGAAGAGAGGTTACAAAAACTACTTTGAAAGGGAAAGTGGGAAATTTTGAAGCCTCATCAAATACAACAAATGACCTCGTGAAAAAGATGGAAGACAAAATGCTGAGAATGGAGGAAAAATTGAGGAACAGAAGGAACAATTTGACCAACAAAAGACCACGATGAGACAAGAAATTGTAGAAGATGTCATAACAAACTTCAACATTCAGGCCTACCAATTGATGTTAATGTTTTGGCAACATTACTTGATGTTTCGTCAACACGAGAAACAAATATTCGGGCCAATCCATCGTTCATCTACCAGTAGCAACAATCAAGGTCAGAATCCTCCTCTTTCTTCTTCATTTTCTTCTACTACTGCTTTTGCAGTTTTTGTTTGGTTCATCTTTATTTATGGCTATTATGTTAATCTGCTTCTACTTCTTTTTCTTGTGCTGCTACACTTGCAATCTTCTTGTATTATTGCTGGTGCAACTGCAATCATCTTTTTTATTTTTATCGAAGTTGATATTATCGAGATTAGTGTTACCGTTGTTTGCATAGTTTAGGAGTATTGAACTAAACTTAAAACATCAATTGATTAAGAAGGTTTTAAAAGGTGTGCTCAAGATCTGGGTTGATTTTAGGTGTTGTTGGTTTCTAGTAAAAATATACTGACCCTATTTGTTGGTTTTTTCCCTTTTGGTTCATCGTTTGTTTCTGATGTATAATGACCGACTTTGTTCTTGTTGTATTGCCTCTTCATGTAGCCCCTATTTGTTGTTGTCTCTTGTGTTTAACTGTTCTATTTTGATCAACAAATATCATGTTTATGACTGTGTAATCTTTCTAGTTCTGATTCTGAGGATTGTAATTTCTGATTTATCAAAATTTAATGTCTTCCGTCCTTTGGTGGGGAGAGCTTGAAAACTGTGGTAATGGATTGAGTTGTCTTGTTCAAGTGCAATGCTTGTAATGTAGTCAGCTAACTGATTTGTTTTTGACTTAGTTGTTCCCTCTCAGCTTCTTCACCTGGTGCTAATTCTTCTAAGTGTTTACTGGTTGCTAAACTGTCCTCATCCGTGTACACTGTTGTAGCTATATTTTTCAAGTTGTTTCCTAATAGGTTTGGCTCCTCCTCATGAACAGTTAGAGCTTCTCTATGTTAGTACTATCACTTAGAGTCTTGGTTTCCTGTGAGTTATTTTCATCATGGCCTCTTTTATCTTTAATCTACTCGTTGTTCTTGAACAGTTTGTCCTCCTTTGGTAAGTCCACATTATTGTAATTCTCTGCTCCCTTCCAAACTACAATATCAGTATCTTTGCATTTTTCTTTGTTTTTAAAAAGTGATGTGGCAGTATAGGTTATGTCCAGAAAGAGTAAAAATTAGGAGTTGTGTGTCTTCTTTTCCCTTTTCATTTTTGAACTTCCTCTTTCCTAATTGTTGACCCTTTTGAAATTGTAGGTGAACAAAATGAGCAAAGCGGGGATGAAAGCAGTGAAGACGTTACTTAAAGAGAATTGGTTTAGATATATATCTACAAACATTCTAGCACTATTTTTACTTTTTGGCCTAATTTTGGTGAACTTAAATGAATGCCAACTCTTGAACATTATAGGACTATTTTTATGTTTGGGCTTAATTTTTGTGAACATCATGTATTATAGTTTATTCCAAAAATAAAGAATATACACAGTGCCTACAATAGCCTGCAATAACCATTAAAAAAGTCTATTGCAATAGCTTAATAACACTGTTGCAATAGTTTAGCAGAACAGTTGTAATAGCTTAGATCTAGCTGTACAATAAAGTTGTTGCGATATATTGTTTGCAACGGTTCGCAACCGTTGCAGCAACCATAGAATAGTGTCGACCTAGACTAAAGAATAACTGTTGCTATACATAGTGTATTGCAATGGTTTACAACTGTTGCCAGAAAACTATTACTATAGACATATCGCAACAGGCTTATATGCAACACACCATCTTCCGTTGCCATAATGCAATTGCAACACTCTTTGATCTATGACAATGAGTTTTCTTGTGTTGCAACATGCCTATTTTCTAGTAGTGTCAAAAACTATGAAAAACTCATGAAATGGCGATGAAACAGAAGAAGGGTGAGTCGCCGAGTCATTCGGCGGCATCGACTAACTTCGCCAAAAGATCCGCCAGCGCTATTTTCTGAAGTCTATAAATACTAAACTTGTTATTAATTTTATAAGTTCCGAACCATTATTATTATTTTCATAATAGAATAATACGCTTTTAGATATTTTCTCTCAAGTTTAGAGAGGGTTTTGTGGAAGACTTGAAGAGAGAAGGATTTCATCTTCCCCAAGTTGGAAGTGGGTCTTCTCCATTCTTCTTCCTTTGCTTAAATCAAGAATTAATTTCTTATACCCATTTTATTTTAGTATCATTTTAGGTGTATTTTGTTATTTCTTGATGTGTGGCTAAAAAACCCATTCTTGGGGTGTGATTTAGCAAATATGTGTTGATATTGTTGTTGGGTGTTGCTTGCTGATAGGGTAGATGTATTTTAATGATGATTT